GCCCTGCGCTCCACCCCCAGCCGGGCCTGCTGACCGCGCCGAGCGCCGGGCTGGACTGACCGCGGCGGCTGAGCCTGGCGAGCAGCCGGCCCGCCCCTGAACCACGCTCGAGCAGTCGCGGACGGCTTGAATTGATTGAGGCGCCGCGGCCGCGGGAGGTGAGAGGAAGGAGGAGGAGGAGGAGGAGGATGTCGCGCCGAGAGGCCGGCGCCCAGAGCAGCCCGTGACTTGGCGGCGCGGGCCGTGGTAGACCCAGGCGCGAACTCGGACTTTGTCTTTGGGGGCCCCGTGCTCGGCCGGCCCTTCTTCCCGGTTTCCGGTGGGGGATCCCAGAGGAGCCTCTGTCCCTCCAGCCTTCCTCCACCATGTCCAAGATGCCGGCCAAGAAGAAGAGCTGCTTCCAGATCACCAGTGTCACCACGGCTCAGGTGGCCACGAGCATCACCGAGGACACCGAGAGCTTGGACGACCCGGACGAGTCGCGCACGGAGGACGTGTCCTCCGAGATCTTCGACGTCTCCCGGGCCACGGATTACGGCCCCGAGGAGGTGTGCGAGCGCAGCTCCTCGGAAGAGACGCTCAACAATGTCGGGGATGCGGAAACCCCCGGGACCGTGTCCCCGAACCTCATCCTCGATGGGCAGCTGGCAGCCGCCTCGGCTGCGCCCGCCAACGGAGGCGGCGGCGTGTCGGCCCGGAGCGTGGCGGGGGCGCTCGCCCAGACCTTGGCGGCGGCGGCGGCGGCGGCCGCCACCACGTCGGTGCCCACTCCGGGGCCGAGTAGTGCCACTCCACCTCAGCCCCCCGCCACTTGTAGTTCCCGTTTCCGCGTGATCAAGCTCGACCACGGGAGCGGAGAGCCGTACCGGCGCGGCCGATGGACGTGTATGGAATACTACGAGAGGGATTCGGATAGCAGCGTCCTCACCCGGTCCGGGGATTGCATTAGGCACAGCAATACTTTGGAGCAGACTGCGGAGCGGGACAGCGGCCTGGGCGCCACCGGAGGGTCTGTGGTGGTGGTGGTGGCCTCCATGCAGGGGGCGCACGGGCTGGACTCGGGCACTGACAGCTCCTTGACTGCTGTGTCACAGCTACCCCCGTCGGAGAAGATGAGCCAGCCCACTCTCGCCCAGCCGCCGAGTTTCAGCGTTGGGCAGCCGCAGCCTCCGCCGCCCGTAGGTGGGGCTGTGGCTCCGAGTTCGGCGTCGCTGCCGCCGTTCCCGGGAGCCGCGACCGGGCCGCAGCCCATGACGGCAGCCGCTCAGCCAGCCCAGCTCCAGGGAGCCGTGGCCGGCGGCGGCGCCCTCCCGGGGCCTCTTGGCCAGGGTCTGCCACCGACGAATGTCAACCTGGCGCAGCCTGTGGCCCTGGGGACTCAGCCGGGCCCGGCGGTCGGCACTTCGCTGCCGCAGCATCCCCAGCAGTTCGCGTATCCCCAGCCTCAGCTACCACCCGGGCATTTGTTGCCCGTTCAGCCCTCGGGCCAGAGTGAGTACCTGCAGCCGCACGTGGCCCTGCAGCCGCCAAGCCCTGCGCAGCCCTTGGCCACAAGCGCTGGCGCGACCTCTGCTTCTGCGGCCAGCTTTCCTTTGGGCTCTGGCCAGAGCGTCTCCTCCTTGGGTGCGCAGATGATGGGCCCCTCTTCCCAGCCCAGTGAAGCTGTGGCTCCGGGTCCGGTTCCTGGCGTCCAGGCCGCTCCTTGTCAGCCGGCGGGAGTGGCCCCAGCTGCTATAGGAGGCGTGGTGCAGCCAGGCTCGGGGCTTACCGGCGCTGGGCAGCCCCAGACCGTGCAGCCTCCTCCGCAGATGGGTGGCAGTGGTCAGCTGTCAGCCGTGCCTGGTGGTCCTCACACCGTGGTGCCCGGAGTTCCAAACGTGCCTGCAGCGGTACCCGCTCCAAGCGTGCCTAGTGTGCCCACCACTTCTGTTACTATGCCAAATGTACCCGCGTCTCTGGGCCAGTCTCAGCAGCTGAGCAGCCATACGCCAGTCAGCAGGAGCAGCAGCGTCATCCAACAAGTTGGGCCGCCCTTAGCGCAAGGCACACACAGTGCACCAACAAGTCTACCACAGTCTGACCTAAGCCAGTTTCAGACTCAGACCCAGCCTTTAGTCGGGCCAGTTGACGATACTAGAAGAAAATCAGAACCCCTACCTCAGCCACCGCTCTCTCTCATTGCTGAAAATAAGCCTGTTGTGAAGCCTCCAGTTGCAGATGCCCTGGCAAACCCCCTTCAGTTAACACCTATGAACAGTTTGGCCACCTCTGTATTCAGCATAGCTATTCCTGTTGATGGTGATGAAGACAGGTATGGAAATTTTTATTTTAAATATCTGCTAGGATTGCTTGGCCCAAATAGCCTAGGATACAGTTTTGGAAGATTTTTTTCACTTGAGGCCTTTATTTTTCTTTTCAGTCTAGTAAAGTCAATACAGAGTTTTGAAGTAGAGGTGTAAGGAGACGTGGTCAACGTTTTTTTTGGGGGGGGGGTTGTTTGTTTTTAAGCATTTAAATGAATAGTGATTCGTTGATGTATTTCAGCTTAACAGTTTAAAGATGAGAGGTTTTATGCCCCCCATCAGTACTGTTGTCCCTTTCTAAGGTACTAATTACTTTTGAGTGCTTATGGCAGAGTTTGCCAGAGTTTTGAAACTGAGACTGAAAAACCAGAATTCTAGGTGGGGCAGGGGAATAGGGAATAGAAGCAGTCTCCATCAGTAGATTTGGGAAGACTGGAGAGAGAATGGTAAAATAAAATGAAGTCTAGCTTTGACTATTGTAAGTCAGACTTTTAACAAAAGGGAGTCTTGAGGGTTCCCAATAATACTGGAAAGATAGTTGTTCTCTTATCATCAATCTTGACTCTAAGGAAGGGAAGTGTGAAGTGCTTACCCAGAAGTAAAAAACTATAGTTTTTGCAATGTATAAATGTCAGTAACCAATGCCCTCTACCTAGAGTGTAAGGAATGCTTTTTTTAATAGTTTAGATAAAAGTCACTGTATTGCTATACTGTTCTATAGCAATTTATGTTTGGCTATGGCCTAATTAGGAATTTTAGTCTTTTTTTAGGAGCTGTCGTGTAGACCTTTGACATTATATAATTCCAACCTTATTAAAAACTTTAATTGCAACATTTTAACACTACATTAAAAATTACAGAAAAAGAGTGGGGTATCGTCTTACACTTGAAGATATTTGAGAGAGGTTAATTTTAGTTGCTTAAAGGATCAAAACGTGGTATGAGTTTGTAGAATCATTGGATATATAGAAGACTACCATGAAATAATAATGCTTTTTATACATTAATCCCTCACAGTCTTAGCTTTTTACTTCTCATTATCCCTGTTTTATTTTATATATTATTCTGCTAGTTTAAAAATGTTTATTGGAATTCATTCATCTCTGTTTTTCTAATTCAAAGTTCATGATTTTTGTAGCCAGGTTGTGGGAAGTCTTTGTTGCATTTGAGAACTCAGTGTCCATAGTGAGGTAGTCAGCTAGCTAGTCATTGACAAATTTAATTTGGGTTGGATTACTAAGTTTAAAAACAAAATTAAAAAAAAAAAAAAGATTTCTGAAGCAACTGTAAAAGCAAAAATCCTCTGTTTTTTTAGTTGCTCCTGTTTTCACTGGTAAGGCCACATTTGAGAAGCAGATGGAGTTTCCCTAAGTTGGATGGTGACTAGTACCTTACCTTTTCTAGCAGCCAGGAACCTCTATTTTCTAAGTTGGTAAATTACCTTTTACTTACCCTCTCTGATCTATGCACTGCCCTATATCTCCTCGATAAATGACTTTTTCCCAACCTGTTTCACACATAAAACCTATGAATGAAGAATACACCTTCTTTCCTCTTCACACACTTTGCAGTTTATAACATATGCCTCAGAAATTAAAAGGATAATAATACATTATTGAAACAAATCTGTTGACAGATGGAAACTCTGAAATATACTCTTTTTGAATACGTGCTACAGATGCATATATTTTACCTTACTATAGTAAAAGTAATCTCAGAAATCATATTTCCTAATATAATGAGTGTTTTAACTACGGATGGTGCTATATGATTGTTCTTAGCTGCATCAGTCAATCCTTTCCAGGGTTTGATTGTGTGTAGCTCCACTTTAAAGGTGCCACTTCTTTCCTTTACAAACCCAGTCTTCAATTCTGCATTGCAGACAATCAGTTTTACCATTGATTTTTAACATGCTGGTTTCCAAGATGTAATCTTACACATTTGATATTTTGTCACTGGACCAAGACACCTGGTGAAGGAATGAATCCATTAATTAGAAATAGGGTTTTGTTTTGTTTTTTGTTTTGTTTTTTGTTTTTTTAAAGGGAAAGTCTTTATAAAAGAGGGCATTCTAAAGTTTTGCACTTGAGAATAACGGTTTTCCAGGCACACAAATTTAAATTAACCAGATGAAAATCTTTTAAGGAATAGTATTTACTAGAAATAATACTTTTAGTATGATTTGAGGTTACTTTCTCAAAATCTGCAGTATTATTATGATCCATTAAATACGATATAAATTGGGAAGGTCTTGAAGAATTATGTCTTAAACTTGGTGAATAGGTTAATGCATTTATATCATAAGGAAATACTTGTAAATATTCATTCTTTTGTTTAAATTCCAAATTTAGTAAACAATTTTTGTTCTTTTGTTTTTAAACAAAAGAAGGGAAATGGAAGGTTAACAAAATGTAGGTTTTAGGTTCATATATTTGAAGCCCTGTTATGGTTTTGGTTCCATACAAGGTCCTATATTGAATCAATTTTGAGATCATTTATATTACACAACTACTATGACACCTTTGAAAGGGCTGATACAAAGTGTTCTCAGTTACCTGCCTGCTGACCTTACATTATTAAGTATCAAGTTGTGAGATTCTTCCAGCCATTTTGAGTAGAAAAAATTATGATTACACATTGACTTGTCAGATTGAATTAATATAAAGTGGTGGTTATAATGATGATTGATAAAGAATTGTGTAGCCACTTTTACAGTGAACATTACAAAATTTGCTTAAACTGCCTGTACATTTAACAGACCCCTTTACTGTAAATGAGAGGAGATATAAACTATTACTGGCCCTAAATGGAGCACAGTACAGATTGTTTTCCCAAAATAACTGACCAGTGTGAACTCTGAAGGTAGCATTCCAGGAACTCATGAATGGCTATAATTGTGAACTGTCAACTGTCTAACTGACAGTTGAAAACCTGATTATTGTAAGGATCCCTTAGTAGTGTATACCTCTGTGTCTTGTTTAATTTGAATAATTTGCTAATGACTAGTAGTGCTAACTGGCATGTTTTGGTATGTGCTATAAATACAAATTTGTTCATATATATATTTAATGGGTTTTATATATATTTAATGTCCATATCTATACATATATGTATGTATTTTTTTAATGGACTTCTCCCTTTTTTAACTTGAAGTTTAAGTGAGAGGATTTATTTAAATACATACCAGGAACAACATTATCCTCTTCTCTTGGTGTAAAACCTACAGACCCCTTTTTTTAAGAGTTATGTTACAGAAAGGCCTCATTGGGCTCCCTGCACATGAGTTTAAAAATATGAAAGCTCCTTACTTGAATCCTTTTCTTTGTACTTTTCTTTTTAATCTATTGCATCATGGAGGAAATTTTGATCTTCCAACTTTACAATTAATGAGTAAATCACGAGCAAGATACTGTCTTATTCCTAAGACTTGGGGAATGCATTCCTACCAAGGAGTAGGTAGTCAAAGTGTAAAATCAGTGAGGGTGGCACACACCTTTAATCCCAGCAGTTGGGAGGCAGAGGCAGGCCGATCTCTGAGTTACAAGGACAGCCAGGGCTATACAGAGAAACCTTGTCTCAAAAAAATAAAACAAAAAAAAAAGTATAAAATCAAATGTATACATGACATTATTTAGTATAAAAACTGATGATATAGTAGAAATATCTAACTACTAAAATATACATTAGTTGTAAACATGGATCTAAATAAAAGAAATTCTGAATTAACAGGCTGATTTTCCAAAGAAGCTGAAATTCCTATAGCTATATCAATAAGAGTTTGACATTTTATAGTCACAGGGACACCTTTTTTTTTTTAAATCGAGAACTAATTAATTTGGGCCAAATGTTTATTATTAAAGAAAATAAACATGTATAGGAATGAAACATATTTCAAGTAACTTTTTTTTTTTAAGATTTATTTATATTTTTTAATGTACACAGAAGAGGGCGCCAGATCTCATTACATATGGTTGTGAGCCACCATGTGGGTACTGGGAATTGAACTCAGGACTTCTGGAAGAACAGTCAGTGCTCTTAGCCTCTGAGCCATTTCTCCAGCCCCCAAGTAACTATTTTATTACAGATTTTTTTCATGTAGGTGAAAGAAGCATATGGGATCATAAATCTATGAAATCATCTTTGTGATAAGTCATTTTACATAATTATTTAATAAGTACCCCTGAGAATAAATGCAGTATCAGTACATTTGTTCTTTAAGGCTCTGACAGGATTTACTTGGAAATGGTATGATACTAAGATTATGCATCTGATACTTCAGACTGTGGACTAGGGTATCATTTTTGCGCTGGGAGAGAAGTTAGATGAAGTGTCCTTCGATGACAAATAGCAATCTGTTAAGCAGATGCTCCCACCTCCCAATATTATTCTTTTTTTTTTTTTTTTTG